GTATTTCCAGATTGTTCTTTTAATGTCAAATGTATCCTCTAAAGTTGGCCGCTCAGTTAGATATCCTAATCTTGAATAGTTAGTATTACAGGTGTGAGTCACTAGTCAACAGATTAAAAAAAAATTATTGTAAAGATACTGTACAGAGGGGTTACAGTTACATGAGTAAGGTAATGCGAACATTTCCTATCAAGCATTGTTACCCTTGCTTTGTTTTTCCTCTACCGTCCCTTCCCTCCCCATCTCATCAATTCCTCCCCTCCCCTAAGTTGTAAAGCTCATTTTCAACATAGTGTCTTGTATGTCTCTCTCTTTGTTACAATGGGTCAACCCTTAGCCTTGTTTCAGTATTTTGTTATTTTCCTTCCTCTCCTCAAATTAGAAAAATGTATATACAAGATGCAGGGCACTGCAATCAAATACAGTGACAACATGGGTTATATCATGGTGCCCAAATTTTTAAAATGGATTTTTCTGTGTGTGTGTGTGTGTGTGCACACGCTGTTCTTGGGGTTGAACTCAGGGCCTGGGCACTGTCCTCAGCTTTTGTACTGAAGGCTAGCATTCTACCACTTGAGCCACAGTGCTGCTTTTTTTTGGGGGGGGGTAGATTAGAAGAAAGAAACTCATGGGCTTTTCTATCCAGGCCGGTTTTGAGCTGCAATCCTCAGATCTCAGCCTCCTGTGTAGCTAGAATTACAAGTGTGGGCTATTGATGCCTGGCCTTGCCTTTAACTTTTATACTGCTAAGTCAATGTATGTGCTGACATTGGCTATGGATTTCCACATCGTTACTTTGTGCATTTAATCTTATTTTCTTTCTTGCCCTTTATTTATTTTTGTGTGCTCCCTACCAGGGATTGAACTAAGTGCCTCAAGGTCTTGCTTGGCTTTTGAAACTCAATGGCTCAAAAACTATTTCTGGCTTTTGGCTGGGTTTTGGATATAAGACTCTCATTTGTCTGCCTAGGTTGGTTTTGAACCTTAATCCTCAAATCTCAGCTTCCTAAGTAACAAGGAATACAGGTGAGAGCTACCAGTGGCTGGCTCGCTTACCTTTTTGCAAGGAATTTTTAAGGTTGACTAGCCAATGTCTAACTCCTTAACCAATAATTATATCTCCATTTAAAACAAAGTATTTTTTTAAGTTTTGGGACAGAGTTTTGCTGTGTAGCCCAGGCTGACCTCCAATTTATGATCCACTTGTTTCTACCTCTGAAGTACTGGGATTACAAAGGTCCACTAGGAGGCTTAGTTTAATTCTTTGTTTCTCAATCCTCATTTCTTGTTTATTGAGTAATTTGATTTCAATCCATGGGAGAGTGGATTACCCATTCTCCATTCTCCCATGCATGTGCCACACATTTCTGCCTTTTTGTTTGTATTTATATTCTAGTTTGGATTTTTTTGTTTTTTGTTTTTTTTTTTGGTTGGTCGTGGGGCTTAAACTCTGGGCCTGGGCCCTGTCCCTCAGCTCTTCAGCTCAAGTCTAGTGCTCTACCACTTGAGCCACAGC